CCTGAAATATCTTAGAAATTTGAGGCATTGAGTATTTCTCTGGGGTTAAATAAACCCTTCTGGTCTTAAGACATCCTATTACTCAAAATTAGTGTCCTGCCCATTTCGCCGACGGGAAAACTGAGGCGCAGAGGCGCTGTTGTCTGCTCAAGGCCACGCAGCAGGGAGCTGGATATCAGCCGGGAGCTGGATATCAGCCAGCTGCGCCCCCTGGCGGCGGAGCGGGAGATGCCGCGGGGTGCACTCGGTGATGGGCGGGCCCCCACCCTGCAGGTCACCCTCCTGCACGTCGTTTGGACGGGCTCATGGTGTAGGTACCGGCCTCGCGGGGAGCACACTGGGCGGCTCAGTGCTCCAGTCTCGGGTCCGAACCCTGCCAGAAGCCTCAGCATCCACGCCCCCTTTCCTCTCTCCTGCACCTGAGAATTTATATAGGACACACGTCATCACAGCAGCCCCGGCGTCAACAGACGGCTTCACTGGTAAATATTGTGACACTGGTAATTCATCACCATCACAATGAACGATAAAATTCCACCGAGGAAGAGCCACAGATCAGCCCGGGGTCATGAACTTGATGTGTTTCCTTCCAGACTTTCAAAAGGCAGAGATTTAGGGTATTTTTTATTTAGATTTTTATCCCCCTCATTCCCCCCACCTCCTTACTTATAAAGTAATACATGTTCACTGTAAGGAATTTGGAAGTAACGAAAACGTATAAAGAAAATAAAAGTCTGCTATAACCCACCCGTTGATTACCCGCCTTCAGCATTCTGAGATGCTCCCCTCTGGTTTTTGTTGCACCCGTGGATAAGAACATTTTCATGTCCTTCAGTTTGGGTCACAGGAGTCCCTCCTACCCTTTACTGACTGCGCCCCACCCATTCTGGCCTTCCACACCCCAAGCTCAGTTCTACCTCAGGGCCTTTGCACATGCTGTACCCATCACCTGGAATGTTTCCCTTCCTGTCCCCCATCTTCATCCTTTGGGTCTCAGTTCAGCTTCCCCTCCCCTTATAAGTACCCCCGCAAACACTGACCCTCTATCCCAGGCTGAAATTCTTTGGGGAAGCTCTTGGGGCTGGGATTTTTTGATTCTCATCCACCACCTTCTCCAGAAACAATGAGTCTTTGTTGTTCCATGGGTAAAATGGGATCGTGTAGGATCACATAATTGCATTTGAAGAGAGTGTATTCTGAGCCAAGCACTGAGCTACCCCCAAAGTGCAAATCAACTTTGCCTCTTCTCCAATTTCACAGATGTAGAAACAGAGGCCCACAGAGGAGGTGATAAAGTTACTCACATGTGCTCCAGGTCCCCGTTTTTTTCTTGTTTGGGATTCTTCCCGAGGGGCACAGTCCTCGCCTTTATGGCTCACCCTAGACCCAAAGAAGAGGATGAGAGGTCTTTGGGGCCCCTTGGGACTTTCAGCCCATGTGAATTCCTAAGGGGGGCTCACAGGGACTCAGCTTACCCTCGTTAAGGGAGAAAAAGTTGCATGCCCACTTCCCTTATAGAGCTGGAGAGGGCACCTTTGAGATAAAGGAGGGCGTTTAGTGGGCGGCGGCCTCAGGGCTTTAGCACCTGCCGATCCCCTCCAGAGCACTGTTCCCCTGCTCTCCTGCTGGCCAGATCCTGTTTCAGGTCCCTGCTCAAATATCATTTCCTCAGGGAGGTCCTCCCTGACCCTTCTGACCCTCCCTCCATTCATTCATTCATTCATTTATTCATGTCATACCATTACAGGGCACCTATAAGACAGGTCTAGTTGCTGGTGACACCAAGCCCTGCCTCTCCAAGCTCACAGAGGGCTAAGGGGGTAAATAAGTCAACACACGATCATTTCTTTTTTTTTTTTTTTTTTCCTTTTTGTCTTTTTTCGTGACCAGCATCGGATCGCAACCCTCGGTGTTGCTCCCGCACCTTGCTCAGCCAGTGAGCGGCCGGTCTGTATGTGGGATCCGA